GGTTGTATTGTGTGTGTGTGTGGGGGGGGTTATATTGTGTGTGTGTGTGTGTGCTTGTGTTGTTCGTGTGTCTGTGTTTCTGTCTGTCTGTGTGTAAAGTTGTATGCATATATGTATGTGGTTGTATTGTGTGTGTGCGTGTGGTTTTTATCATGGCTTTTTGGCTCTCATTTTGTGTGAAATTCTCACCATGTTTGTATATATATCTATAATACATAAAATGTTAAAACATAGTCTGTGGATGGTTGGCGGGTGCTCTGGTGTGGTTTGCTTCTCTTTCCTATGAAACATCTATCGTCCTTATCTCCCCTTTTTCTTTTTTATGTTTGTTACTCTCTTGTAACACCTCTAATCTGCTGGCGCTCATATGATCTTATGCAGTTGCGAGCGCCGTAAAACCTCTACTAAAACTAAAACTAAAAAACATAGTCTGTGTGTGTCACCCTCCAGACACCCGACAAGTCCAAGGCTGTTGGCGACAGTTTGTTCGGGGAAGGAGACGAGGAGGACGACGATTTCTTTGCCTCGTCTGCCAAGCCGAAAGACAGGTCTGTATTTTGGTGGAGTGGTGGAGGTTTATCGCCCCATATCAACACTGGTAGGTTATTTTTAAACATTATAGAGATGTTTTTGAAGATAAGAGTTGTTTTTTTTAGATAAGTAAGTTAATTCTGATGTTTTTGAGACAATTAAGATGTTTTAGAAGATTTAATTGAGATATTTTTAAAGATAAATAAAGATGTTTTTGAAGACAATTAAAATGTTTTTGAAGGAAGACCATTAAGATGTCCTTGAAGATGAGTAATGTTCTTTTTAAGATAATTAAGATGGTTTTGAAGATAATTAACTATCAAACTAAAATAGTTGGTAACAATCGTCATTTCTGAATTTCAATTGGGCCCCCAAAAGAGCTTCTGTAAAAATGCAATTGAGTTAATTTGAACAAGGATGGGTGGAGCATTTGGTTTATTTTCACTGTTATCCTGAAAGCTCTTCTCATCTTAGTTTTCCCTCAAATAGCGGCCAAGATATCACTCATATGCACATACACTTCTTATCAGAGTCAGAATGAGAGAGAGAAAAAGAGAGATAGAGAGAGAAAAGAGAGAGAAAAGAGAGAGAGATAGCGAGAGAGGGAGAGAGATAGCGAGAGAGGGAGAGAGAAAGAGAGAGAGATAGAGGGAGAGGGAGAGAGAGAGAGAGAGAGATAGAACAGAAATGTTTTTCTATCTGTATAGAATTGTTTTAATGAATGTTTCTAGTTACTCACGTTTCAACTTTATTTTGACTGTTCGTGAATTTTTATTGCATTGTATATTTTTAGTGAACCCATTTTCAACCTCACTGCGAGACAGTTTTTCTGGTATAAAATTTTTACACATATGCATTTATATTATATGTATAATACTTTGTTTTACGTACACATTTGTGTCGATTAATTTTTAAGATGTGATGTCTTTTTCATTGTAATGCGCATTGAGCATCTTTTAGGAAATGGAAATGCGCAGTATAAATGCTATTTATTATTATTATTATTATCATTATAATTATGTCAGGATCTATGTTATTTTTTTGTTTTTTGTTTTGTTTTGTCAGTAAAAAGCCAGCTGGGGGCGTGTCTCTGTTCGGAGGAGCCGATGTGTTAGGGACAGCGGGCAAGAAGGTGAGTTGTGGTCCTCACCAGGTCTTACTGATGATTGATGGTGATGATGATAATAATGGTGGTAATGATAATTATATTGTGTTGAGGATCTTCATTTTATTGCCAACAAATGTCATGTCTTTTGAGCAAAAAACAATTCTTGCGGCATCACTCCAAACAAAACTGTCATATATATATATATATATATATACCTGCAAACCAGACCGCGGGTGGTTGGCGGGTGCTCTGGTGTGGTCTGCTTCTTCTTTCCTATCAAACATCTATCGTCCTCATCTCCCCTTCTTCTTTTTTATGTTTGTTACTCTCTTGTAACACCTCGAATCTTCTGGCACTCATATGACCTTATGCAGTTGCGAGCGCCGTAAAACCTCTACTAAAACAAAACAAAAAAAGCAGACCAAAACAATTTTAAAAAATGGAAACATTTATTGATTGGATGCCCGTCTTTTTACTCCAATAAACAAACTGAAAAATGTTCAAAATGTTTTTCTCTTTTTCTCACTTGTAGTATGAAACAATTATAAAAAAATCTCACTGTAATATTGCAGTATAAGAAAACAATTCTCTGTTTATCTCACTATCACTTGCAGTATGATAGAACAATTCTCTATTTATCTCACCATTGTATAAGAAAACAATTCTCTGTTTATCTCACTATCACTTGCAGTATGATAGAACAATTCTCTATTTATCTCACCATTGTATAAGAAAACAATTCTCTGTTTATCTCACTATCACTTGCAGTATGATAGAACAATTCTCTATTTATCTCACCATTGTATAAGAAAACAATTCTCTGTTTATCTATCACTATCACTTGCAGTATGATAAAACATTTCTTTGTTTATCTCACTATGGTATAGTAAGACAATTCTCTATTTGTCTTACTTTCGCTCACTGTATATAATAGGACTATTCTCTGTTTATCTTACTTTCGCTCACAGTATATAATAAAACAATTTTCTCAATTGGTGGCTTTCTCCAGGAGGAAGTCAAACCGGCAAAGTCTGAGGCGACGCCAGCCGCCAAAAAGACGCGGGCCCTGTCCTTGTTTGACGACGATGAGGACAACGAGGCCGACCTCTTCTCCAGCAAACCTTCCAAACCCCCGGCAGGGAAAGAGGTCAGAGGTCGCACTGTTTGGGCTTGCGGGGGAAAAATTCTTTGCTTAAAACACCTTTAAAAAAATGTTACATATTTGTATGGGGCAATTACCAAGATAATGCAAATTGAATAGAAGCAACAGACATTTGCTTTCAGATAGTGCAAATTCAATAGAAGCAACAGACATTTGCTTTCAGATAGTGCAAATTCAATAGAAGCAACAGACATTTGCTTTCAGATAGTGCAAATTGAATAGAAGCAACAGACATTTGCTTTCAGATAGTGCAAATTGAATAGAAGCAACAGACATTTGCTTTCAGATAGTGCAAATTGAATAGAAGCAACAGACATTTGCTTTCATAGGAAACTTTTGAGAAGTTCATGGATGGGAAAGAAATTACTAAAAGAAGCACTCGGGAGCCACTCATTAATAAGATCAACTAGGAACCGACAAATGAGGCATGGGGAGCCACTCATTAATAAGATCAACTAGGAACTGACAAATGAAGCATGTGGGTCACTTGAATAGACATCAAGGCTTTCAACATCTATAGCTTGTTCACTTTCATCTGACAGCATTAACATTTTTTAGCTCATTTAGGAATTTTCCTATTCCCATGAAACTTGGCATGGCACTTCTGTATGCCAGTGACCAACAAAAATATTTTTCCAAAAATCTTGATCCAGTAATACATATTTTTTTTCTCTTTGCATCCTATAGTAAAGACCGCTCCTTGGGTACATACACAGGATCAGTAAAATACATGACTTACAGTAAACTCGCCTACAAATTGCTCATTTTGAGACAGTAACACCACCCTGCCCCCACATTTTAGTGTAAGCTTGCAGATTTCATCCCCCAGCTATCTAGTTCTCTCCACGTGCTCCACGTGAGTCTAAAAAATTACTCACCCCATCTCTTGAATCGTGTTTCCTAGGCATACATTAAAGTGTGTTGTGGGGGAAAGTATGTCAAGTTTTACATGTTTTAGGTGTATGCTGTAAATCCCCTATTACTTTTTGACCCGCTTTAGGCTTACATGGAAGAAAATGTGTGGGAACCTTAGTTTGCCGTGTACTTTGTGGATGGGCTTGTAGATTCTGGTGGTCGTCCAACTTTTCGACTCGTATGCAAAGATCGGAGAAGATTGAACGGAGCCATTTCCTTGTATCTTGTTTGAACCGCGGTCAGAGGAAAGTGAACAAGTGGGTGGTTGGCGGGTGCTCTGGTGTGGTTTGCTTCTTCTTTCCTATCAAACATCTATCATCCTTTTCTCCCCTTCTTCTTTTTTATGTTTGTTACTCCCTTGTAACACCTCTAATCTTTTGGCGCTCATATGACCTTATGCAGTTGCGAGCGCCGTAAAACCCTCTACTAAAACTAAACTAAACTAAAGTGAACAAGCCATAGCTCTCACTGGGAAAACAGAAGGCAAACGAGGCAGGGGTTGACCTAGAGAAACATACTTGGAGAACCCAAACAGATGGGAGATGGATGGGGAATCACCAGAACTGTATACGATTTTTTAGATCATCTGAGGGAAGAGATGGATGAAGAAGTATGATCGCTATTGTCTTGTGTCAGATCTGACGCTTTATGATAATAATAATATAATAATAATAATAATAATAATAATAAGAGCATTTGTATCCCGCCTTTCCCCACAGCATGGGCCCATGGCGTACATAGGAGATGAAAAACGCATTCATACAAACACCATGCGAATTCATCATGTGCGCACTTTTTGACAGCAACATTCTTTCAGACAATAAAAAATGCTCATACAAAATGATCAAGATAGATGTGCATTTCCGGGTGGTTGGAGGGAGCCGCTGGTAGGTCCTACTTCTTTGCGAATGCCATCTATTATTATTACTCTATTCCGCAGACGTCTAAACCAAAATCGGGCGGTCTGTTTGACGACGGTGATTTGTTTGGTGGGAGCCAAGAGGAGAACCCACAAGTAGATTTGTTCAGCAATAAAGGCCCGCTGGCTGCTCACAAAGCCAAAGAAGAACCCAGGAAAACCGCCACAGCCGCGCCGGCCCAGAAATCCGCTCCGGCCGGCAAAGCCGCGTCGTCCGACCTGTTTGGTGGGGATGGTGATGATGATGATGGTGACGACCTGTTCTCGTCTTCCTCGAGTTCATCGACAGCTGTGAGGCCGGGTGCCACGCCGATTGGTGGAGTGACGGAGACGGAATCGACAGACGATATGGAGCCAAAGGTGGGAGATTACGTGACCCACATTGAAAACTTTTATCTATATGAGGTTGGAAGGGCACATTAAAAGCCTCATAATGTTGGAAGTGTATTGTTATTTAGAGTCTTGAGCCATATGGTCAACGATGGGCGTAATGTGATTTTTAAAAAAAGATAAATATAAACTTTTTTGGGGGGTTCTTTAAAAAACGTTCACCGGTGCGGATCTTTTTACTTCCAAGATGGAAAAATTTTAAGCTGAAGAATACTAGATATTTCTGTTTAGTAAGTGTTTTACGGCACTTGTGACACAAGTACAAAATAGGTCATATAAATGCAGAAGATTAAAAGTGTAATATACAGAGAAAAGAAGGGGGGAAAGATAAGGATGATAAATGTTTGATAGGAAAGAAGGCGCAAACCACACCAGAGCACCTGCCATCCGCCCACTAACTAGATAAAAATGAGTAAGATATTTCTAATGAAACATTGATAATGACATCAATTTTTGTCAAGTTCCGTGTAGTTAATTTTCAAAACGAGCAAATTCATTTTAAACTGTTTTATGCACCCCGCATAATTAAGCAAAATTTGATCATTTTTTGCATAATATCTGATTATTTTCCTATATCATTCTTAATTAAAATTAACAGAATCGCATAATTTCCCATTTTTGTGCTCAGTTTGCATAATTTCAGAATTTGCTTTGTATAAAAGCGGGGGGGACAGTTAAAAGGTTATTTTTGTTTTCTCTTGCAGGCCGAGGCAGCAAAGGCCGAGGCAAAGAAGCCAAAAAAGCCGGCTGGAGCTGTGTCCATGTTTGGCGCAGGCATCGACCCGCTGGCCCTGCTGAAGAAGAAGAAGCCCCAGGTGGACTCGGACGCTGAGGACGAGAAAGAGGAGGAGAAGAAGAAGAAGGAGGAGGAAGAGGAGGAGAAAAAGGAGGAGAAGAAGAAGGAGCCTGAGAAGGAAGCGAAGAAAGCCCCGAGTGCCGCAAGCAAAGGTTGGTGTTGTCTTCTTTAGATCTACGTCTGCCGCCCACAGAGGGCGCCATTTACGACATTTCGAGTGGGTGGTTTGTGGGTGCTCTGGTGTGGTTTGCTCCTTCTTTCGAATCTTAACATCTATCATACTCATCTCTCCTCCTTTTTTTATTTTTGGTGTTTGTTACTCTCTTGTAACACCTCTAATCTGCGGCACTTATTTGACCTTATTGTGTTGCTTGCAAGCGCGGTACAACTCGTACTAAAACGAAAAGAAACCGTTGGGACCACTGATGTGTAGTGGTTTGAGTTACTTGATGAAGTCAACTTTGTCCGTAATATCGATGTAACAATATCAATGTAACAATATCGATGTAACAATATCGATGTAACAATATCGATGTAACAATATCGATGTAACAATATCAATGTAACTATCGATGTAACAATATCGATGTAACAATATCGATGTAACAATATCAATGTAACAATATCGATGTAACAATATCGATGTAACAATGTTAATGTAACAATATCAATATGCACAAAACCAGCCACCGTCATCTCTGGTGTTATGGTTAGGGTATTGGCTATTGCGCGCAAAAGCCACAGGTTCGATTCTCCCTTGGGGAAGCTATCTTATCTATTAAAGATTATCTCCCGTTTTTTCTGCTGGGATGCTTTTTCCATCTAACTTTGGCCGAGCTCTGAAATGACCTCAGTGGTGTGTGTGGATGAGGGCATAAAACTTTTACGTGGGTGGTTGGCGTGTGCTCTGGTGTGATTTGCTCCTTCTTTCCTATCAAACATCTATCGTCCTTATCTCCCCTTCTTTTTTGTGTTTGTTACTCTCTTGTAACAGCTCTAATCTTTGCCACTTATTTGACCTTATTGTGTTGCAAGCGCCATAAAACTTTTACTAAAACTTAAACATACTTACCGCAAATTCCAACGATTCCAACGTTTGTTTTGTCAGGTGCAGATTTATTTGGCGAGGATGCGGAAGACGACGGGGGTCTTTTCTCTGCAGCAAAATCTGGGGCTAAAGTGGAGGGGGTGACCACCTCAGAGTCTACAGACGCTCCGGAGCAGGTCAGTGTGGGGGTGTATGTGTATGGGGGTAGAGTGTGTGGGTGTATGTGTGGAGGGGGTGACCACCTCAGAGTCTACAGACGCTCCAGAGCAGGTCAGTGTGGGGGTGTATGTGTGTGGGGGTAGAGTGTGTGTGTGCATGTGTGGTTATGTGAGTGTGTGTCTAATTTGTATTCATAAAGTCATAAATCAGCCACAACAGAAAACCCCCCCAAAAAACAACAAAACTTATATGGTCTCCAACTAAATCATTGTCTTTCTACTTGTCTTGCTGCCGACTGAGTGGGTGGGTGGCGGGTGCTCTGGTGTGGTTTGCTTTTTCTGTCCTATCAAACATCTATCTCCTTTATATCCCCTCCTTCTTTTTTGTGTATGTTACTCTCTTGTAACACCTCTAATCTTCGGCACTTATATGACCGTATTGTGTTGCAGGTGCGGAAAACTCTTACTAAAAAAAAGTCAAAGCAGCCACAACAGAAAAAAATGAACAAACCAAACAACAAAACTTATACGCGTATCGTCTCCGACTAAATCGATGTTGTCTTTCTACTCATCGTCTTACTGCAGACTGAAGCAGAAGTGCCCGCCCCGAAAGCCGAGCCGGCAAAGCCCAAGAAACCGGCGGGAGCTGTGTCCATGTTTGGCGGCATGGACCCCTTCGCTCTGCTCAAGAAGAAGAAGCCAGTGGATGAGGAAGAAGAGGAAGAGGAAGCTGGGAAGACGGAGAAAGCGACACCTCCGAAGACGCTGGCTAAATCACCGGCCGCGAATTCGTCGGTTCTGGAGGATGACGACGGGGATAGTCTCAAACCCAAACCTCGTATGTGTGAATGTGCTGTTGTTGGTGTGGTGTTGTTGTTGTTGTTGGTGTGTTTAGTTGCGTTGTTGTGTGTGTAAATGTGGTGTTGTTGTTATATTTATATGTGTGTGTAAATATGTTGTTGTTGCTGGAGGTGTGTGTTAAATTGTGGTGTCGTTATGTGTGTAAATGTGTTGTTGTTGTTGATGTTGAATTGTGTTAATTGTGGGTGGTTGGCGGGGGCTCTGGTGTGGTTTGTTTCTTGTTTCCTATCAAACATCTAACGTCCTTATCTCCCCTTCTTCTTTTTCATGTTTGTTACTCTCTTGTAACACCTCTAATCTTCGGCACTTATATGACCTTATTGTGTTGCGAGTGCCGTAAAACTATTACTAAAACTCAACCTGTGTGGTCCACAGCTGCAGATCTGTTTGGTGAAGACGAGGAAGACGACGACTTGTTTGGCGCCAAGAAGCCCGCTGCCCCGCCCGCTCCGAAGGTGGAATTGCCTTCTCCCACAGCTGAGGTAAGTGGCTGGGTGGTTGGCGGGTGCTCTGGTGTGGTTTGCTTCTTCTTTTCTTTCATACGTCTATCGTCCTGATCTCCACCCCTTCTTTTTCATGTTTGTTACTCTCTTGTAACAGCTCTAATCTTCAGCACTTATATGACCTTATTGTGTTTGCAAGTGCCGTAAAACTGTTCCTATAACTTAATGAGGTATATCAGTGGGAAGCTGTTCTGATGTTCAAGCCAAATTTGGATTATTTTTGTCCCAGTTTTGTATTCTGTGGTCAGCGCCCTACGGTCCTCATGGATATGAGATCAACAAAGAATTCTGTAGTATCAGTTGAATTTTGTCTGCAAACTAAAAATTATATCCCGATTTTCCTGATGGAAACAGAATTATCTCCTACTTTGTCGTGTGTTGCCAAGGGATGTTTGTCACTCTCTTGTAACCTGCTATTTCCGGGATGCCTTGATAGTTGAAGCAGACTTTTTGCTGTTGAAGCTAGAGAGGTGAGCAGAGTAAGTCTGATTCCCCATTTGGACTTCTCTGTTGACATCCACCCCTTGGCGCTCATATGACCTTCCTGGTTTTTTTCGTGTGTCGCCACAGGCTGAGCCAAAAGCCCCCGAGCCCAGCAAGCCGAAGAAACCGGCCGGCGCTGTGTCCATGTTTGGCGGCATTAACCCTTTCGCTGCCATGCAGAAAAAATCTGTGTCTGTTGATGAGGAGGAAGAGAAGGAAGACAAGAAAGACATAGGTAAGACATTTGTGAGCGAATAATGTTAGATATATTTTTTTTTTTAATGTACATGCTTTTACATCCCTTTTGCTACAATTTAGATCATTTAGGAGGTGGGCTTCAGGGCCAGTCGAGGCTGAGAGGGATACAACATCCCAGCGGAAAGACCGAGATATACTCGATAAAAATTCTCCCAGCACAAGAATCAATTTTGGGCTCTTGTGCATGCGACTGTGAAGCACCCGACGGCTACCCCACGGACACTGGTCATGGGTACTAGTGAGGAGGAGGAGGAGAAAAGAAAACTGGAGAAAAAGAAAAGGTCGTGAAAGAGTAGAAAAATCGGAAGTGAGATGAAGAGAACAATCTAAAAATACAAAGAATAAAGAAAATACAAGTGGGGAAGAGAGGACAGGAAGTAGAGTGTGGAACGGAAGAAGAGTAGAGGGAAGGTGAGATAAAGACATAGAAAGAGGATAAGAAGTAGAGTGTGGAACAGAAGAAGAGTAGAGGGGAGGTGAGATAAAGACATAGAAAGAGGATAAGAAGTAGAGTGTGGAACAGAAGAAGAGTAGAGGGGAGGTGAGATAAAGACATAGAAAGAGGATAAGAAGTAGAGTGTGGAAC